CCCCAACTGAGGACCTAGCCTGAAATCCAGGTATGTGCCCTGACTGGGAATCGAACCAGTGACCCTTTGGTTCACAGGCCAGTGCTCAATCCACTGAGCCACACCAGCCAGGGCAGATCTTTCATATTTTTAATGCAAAGATTTACAGCTATCAACTTCCCTCTGAGCACTGCTTTCACTGCATCTCTTCGTTTCCTTTTTTTTTCTTTTCTTTTCTCTTATTTTCAGGTTGTGATTCACTTGTCTTTGAAAATTATTGCTGTGCTTTCTGTGTTTTTTAAAACCACACTTTATTCATCCATCCGTCAGCTGATAGACATTTGTGCTGTTTCCACTTTGGGACTGTCCTGGACATGTACATATTTACATACAACTTTTTGTGTGGTTATATGTTGTCGGATCTCTTGGGTATATACGTAGGAGTGAACTGCTGGGTCACATGGTGACTTTATGATTAACTTTTGACACTCAAGAATTTAACACTGATATAATGATATTATCTGACATAGATATAGTCACGTTACCCCAATTGTACCAATAGTGCTCCTCATAGCTGGTTTGAAATGGAGCTAAAATTTATAGATGGTGACAATTCCAGATCTTGGTGTGCGTGCCAATGAATTACAAAAACTGTCTACCTCTGTGCTGGCACCACCCCAAACAGGATAGAGAACGTGTTCACTGCGCCTGAAAGTTCCTCATTCCAGCCGCTCCCCACCTCCTTTTGCATCTATTATTATTTTGGTAACGAAAGCTCTGGAGATGGTCACGAAGGACTGGCATTTATTTCAACTGAAGAATTTGCACAACACACTCCCTTCACTTTTCTAACTTGGAGGCAGACTGGGCGGGAGGGGAGATGGTGAACATCTCACTGAGCAGGCCCTGCTCTTCCCCAGACTCCGCCATGTGTTAGCTGTGAACTGCGGGCAGGCCGGTCCTGTCTCTGAGTCTCGGTTTCCTCAAAGGTAAATGAGTCCTTGGTGAACATCGGTTAGGACAATGTATCCGAAGCACTTGGCACCATGTGGGCACCTACCAAACATTCACTCCCTCTCCCTCTCCACCTCTCTCCCCCTTATTGGATTCTCAAAACCACCTTCATGGATCCTCATCATTCACCCAACAAACGCTTACTGAATATCAACTGTGTGTCACGTGCTAAGCCTTGAGGAAGCAATGAGAATTAAAATAGCCACTGCCCCTGCCTGCCTGGAGGTTATGGTCAAGAGGGGAAGAGCGGAGACGGGTGCTAATCACATAACGATAGTAGAGGGAGGTTAGGAAGGCATATCCAGCGCTCCAAGAGGGTATAGTGAAGGCTCTCTTTCTGGGCTGCTGGTCAGGGAGGACAGCTGAGAGGAAGTGACCCTTTAGCTGCAAGCCGAGTAAACAGAACAGAATGAGGCAAGTCTTCTAGGGAACAGAGGAGGGCTGTCCAGGCAGAAGAGGCAGCATGTGCGAATGCCCTGGGGTAGAAGAGAGCGTGGTACGTCCAAGGACTGAAAGGAAGCCCAGGTAGCTACACAGCCAGGGGTCAGATGGGGCTGGAAATGGTGAGAGCTGGGCCTCCGGAGGCCCTTTCAGCCATGGTTAGAAGTCAGATCTTCAGCACAAGAACAGGGTGGAGCCTCGGCTGCTCCTCAGCAGGGGTGGGAACAGCGGCACGACGGGCCAGACGGGCCTCAGAGGAGAGAGCAGCAGCACAGCTGGAGACCCCAGGCCCCGAGGTCACCCTGGTGAGGAACTGGTTGCGTGGAGCAGGATGGTGGTGTGGCGGTACGCTTTCAGAATATAGCCATTCAGGACTTGGAGGTGGTCTGGACACAGGAAGGGAGGGACGAGGAGGACACTCCGGTTTGTGAGCGGTGGGTGAGAGCAGTGCCGGTGAGACAAGGGCTCCCAGAGGGTGGCAGGGCTGAGGGGAGGGGAGGGACTGGGTGCTGTTACCTCCGTTTTGAGTTGCAGAAGCAGGTCCTGTCTGGGCACAGCCGGACAGATGGCTGGACGAGGTGGGGAGGGTCTGCTGCTCCTGAGGAAGCTTCCAGCTCGTGTGTGTGTGTGTGTGTGTGTGTGTGTGTGTGTGTGTGGTGCAGAGTGGGGCTGGTGGGTGGAAATGCTCCATTGCTTAAGAGCTGGGAGCACCCACGCGTGGGTGTTCTGGAAGCAGCTTCGCAGCACATATGGCAAACAGCGAGCACGAAGCCAAGACGCTGTTTCCTGAGAGTGCAAAAATACCCTGGGTGGCAGCCATCCTGCTCACAGCGTGCGGTCCTGGCACACAGTAGGTGCTCAGTAGCTGGTGATCCTCTGCTGAGGCTTGCCCAGCACCTGCAGGCTGGGGGCCATGGAGGTCAGACTTTATCTGCTTCCTCTTACCCACCTCATGGCGACCTCAGATTCATGGGCCGAATTTAGAATAGCAGTCTCTTTCTGAGACAAGAAGGAAAGGGAAGGTGAACTTTTCTGAGTACCTAGCATGTGCCAGGGACTGTGTTAGGCCTTTATACCTTTTGTGAGGATTGAATACTAGACAGACTTGAAGAGTAAATGAATGCCCACTTGAGATTCAGAGAGGGGAATACTTTTGCTTAAGGGCACACAGCCAGCAAGTGGCAGGGGCAAGGTTCCAACGCGCTGCCCAACCCCTCAGCACAGGCCCTTCCCACCGCAGGTAAGACAGGAACTAGGTATCAGAACAAAGAGGTCAAGGTCGGTTCTGAAGCCCCCAGGTATTAGGAATTTGAAGAAGGTGAAAGTGATGCTGATATAATCGCCAACGTTGAATTTCAATTTCCAAAGCACCTCCCCCTCTTGGGGTGGGGGGCTACGATTCTCCAGCTGGGAAAATAATTGCCTCCCATGTGAACACTTGGCAATTGGCTGCAAAAGGTAATTAGCACTAAATGCTGAAAACAGGGAGAGAGCAAACCTTGGCCGAGGGCCCCAGGGAAAGTGGCAACAAATTATTGTTCTTTCAGAATTACAAACACCAACAGGCCGGTTCACGGACTGTACCGGCTTGTCTTCTCCCGAAGACCTGCGCCTCTGCCCTGCTCTCCAGAGCCCTCTGGGTCACACCGGCTGGAGGCTAGTAGGGCGCCTTCCCCTGGTCCCGTCCTGCTTGTGGGACCCCAGGACGCGGTAAGCATTTCAGGACAGTGAAGCTGGGCCCCCATTCTTACTTACAGGCTCCTCCCCCAATAGATTAGCGGTCTGTGGGAGGAGCTGGCCTCTGGGTGGGTCGCTCTCAGCCCCTCAGGGCTTCTGCGGTGCCCAGGGCACCTTTGACCCGAGGGAAGTAGTTACGGAGCAATCCATATGCGTGAGACTTCTGCTAGGTGTTTTGTGGGGAACGGGGGACACTGGCCCATCTCTCTCCCTGGGGGAGTACACAGCGTCACAGAACCCAGTGGGGGAAGCTATTCGGTGCGGTACCAGTTGTGGTCTTAACCTCAAATTACACATCAAGAAGGCTTCCCTGTTTCAATGTTATTTCCGTCGATCTGGGCCAACATATCTTTGACACCGCCCCACCACTTGCCGAAGCCTCTGGCGAGCAACGGATTCAAATTAGAATTCATTTACAGCCATGGTTACCTTCTATTTATGGCAAATGAGATTGGTTTTCCATTTACAATAGTGATTTCATCCTAAAATAAATCTATTGGAGCTTTAAAAAAAAAGGGAAGTGCACCCGCTTGAAGAAGTATGTCAGTACTTCTTTACTTTAGAGGTAAAGGTGCAGTGGGGACATGGGGCACATGCCAGCACCCATCCAGAGTTAAGCAAGAGGAAACACTGCCCCCCGCCCAGTGCCACAGACCCGGAACTGCCTGTGGAACCCCCGTCCCACCTATCTCCAAACGACCCCAGAGAGTACATTTTCCCTTTGGCCTGGGATCAGCTGGCAAAGGAGCTGCTTTCCATAAAGGAGCAATTAACAACTTTGATATTGTTTTCTGTGGAAACTGTTTTCTTCCCTCCCACCCCACCCTCTGGGGAAAAATTAATATAAACAAAACTGCTTGGACTCAGTTAAGAGATGGATGAGTTGAGTGTTGTTTTGCAACTAAGGTCTCAAGATGTTTTAAGGGACGGTGATCTCAAGATGTTTTAAGGGACAGTGATCACGAAACAGCCAAGCCTCCGCCCAGAGAGAGAGAGACAGACAGACAGACAGACAGACAGACACAGCTGCTAACTTGGGACCTGGCTCCTAGCACCACGGCCCACCGTAGGCCTTTGGATGCTGAGCCCAGTGGTGCCCCTCACCCACCTCTTCCTGGATCATCTGAAACATAAACAACATCAAAACCCAAATACATAGCTAACAGTTATGCCAAAATTAAAATTTGTTTCTACTTCTGAATTTTAAGTGTACTGATTGCAAAATTCTGGGTAAGATTGTCAACATGGACTTTTGTTCTTGGGTTTGTTTGGATTTGGGGGTTTCTTCTTCTTCCCTGGTGCCCCAGGCACCTTTTTTAGCCTATTGGTTGCTAAGGGAGGGTGGGAGGGAGTCTGGGCCCTGCCCAGAGACTGTCACTAAGCCCAGGTGCAGAATGCTGATGTGTCACCTGTCAGTCTGACTTCAGCCTTTTAGCCAGCTGGTCAGGAACCTGTCCCATTGCCCGGCATCAGCTGGGTTCTCAGCAAGAAACGATGAGAATTTACTCCACACAAACCCTCTCTGTTGAGGATGTGAAGAGATCAGGAAATACAGGTGGATAATAGCCCAAGAATAAGGAATATCATCACACACCACAGCTATGAGACACCTCATTCCTAGTCCATCAGAGCGGTGCGCGGCCTAAGGCCATGCCTTGTCCTACTCTGTCATCTGATAAATACGGAAATAAAATTTCACTGTTATCGTCGCCTCCTGCAAAGAAGGGACCCGTGTGTGTATAATTTAATTATGCGATTTAATGTAATTTGTTGAAGATTTGCTGGATGAGAGACGAGGATGAAGCCAGGTCTTGGCTGAACTTTGTTTTTTTAATATGGAACACTTCAGGAATTTGCACATCATCCTTGCACAGGGCCACACTAATTGTCTCTGTGTCATTCCAATTTTGGCCTGTGTGCTGCCAAAGCGAGCACTTGGTTGAACTTTTTAGGCATGGCGGGGGAAAGAGAGCTCGGCAGGCAGCACACAAGGCAGATTCTGACCCACCTCCCTCGCAGTGAGTGGTTGCCTGGTCTGCGAACAGCTTCTGTGTCTAAATAAGTGCAGAAGCATGGAGATTGGTACTCGGGAGAAAATATTTTCCTGAAGGTCCCACTCCAGCTCTGCTTTGACATACCAAGACCAGCCCGGGCCTGGAGAAAGCCCCGCTCCACCCTCCACTGCCCTGTCCCCGCTGCCCTCAGGGAAGCGGTGCCCACGCTCTGGGGTTGGTGGCTCTGTAATTGTTTCTACAGGACATTTTGGGCAAGTTGCTCTCTGTTTCTTGCCCCCCCACCCCAGGGGGAGGTCAGATGATATTAGGACAAGGAGGGTATTGTGGTGTCAACCAGCTTTAAAAGTGACCTTAAATGGATGTGATTCTCCTGCAAGCTCTAGGCACACACGGGCACATGCCCATGGGCTTTACGTAGGAGAAATACGGGAGTGGGTTGGTTGTGCCTTCTTTCTCTGGAGAAATAAGAAAGTTGGATTATTTGCCGCTCATTTTAGGGAGAAATAAGGAAGTGAATTTTCATGGGTAGGGTATTTTTGCTAACACAAAACAAAAACTTGGGTGGGGAGAGATTGCGAGGCTGTCACTAGAAATTCCAGGTATCTCCTTGGGTTCAGGAAAGTCAAACTCTGCCGGGACCCTCCGGTGCTGGAAGTGGGAGCTGGGACAAAGGAGACTGGAGCTATTTGCTCAGTGTCCGGGACCACAGGCCGCTCTCACCTCGGTTTCTCTGACGGACTGCTGTGTTCTCCTCTGTCTCAGCTGCCATGTCCAGCTTCCTCGGGCTCCACCTGGCCCCACGTGAGTTCCACACCCAGGAGAATCTGACCTTTCATCTCTCTTGGTCAAAACTGCCCTCCCCTCAGAGCTTCTGAGTTCAGTATCCTGATGGTGGGGGCCAGGCACTGGCTGGACCGGACCCAGTGAGCTGTGTCCAGATGAGTGGAGGTGTGCTGGGATGGCTGTCTAGACCTACAGGTGTAGGAGCAGCAGGCCCTCCAAGTGTGGTAAAGCTGAGTGTGCCCTCTCAGTTTGAGAACCAAGAGTAAAAGTGGTTTATGACAGAAGGAAGTGGGATAATGGCATCTCATCAACTGGGCTGTTCAGTCCCATTCACAGGCCGGTCCCTTCTTTAGGAGCTGCCATGTTGGCACTGCATGACCCCGCCCCCATTTGCAGTTGATTGGAGAAGGAGGGGACATGTGACCCAGCTGGGCCAATCCAATGGACTCTCCTGGGCCCTGGAGCCACAAAGCATTAATGCACTTGCTAGGCAACGCTGGGGAGCCAGATCCCGTTGCAAGGACTGGGAAGAGGAGAAAGTGGGTCTGCAGAGGGAAGAGAATGAAACAAGTGCAGAGAGTGGAAACTCAGAAATAGGAAATGGTGTGGACTGGTCAATGACCTGCTTCTGGTGTCTCTGGAGCCTGGCGACCTCCCAGCCTTTGACTGTTATGGGCAAATTTCTTTTAATAAATTCCTCTTTTCTGTTAGTCCAATAAGGGTGCTTTCTGTTACCTGTAACTGGAATTCTCATCAATACAGATATCTAATAAAATAGTAATAGCAATAGCTAATGTTTATTGAATGTTTATTCTGTGCCATACATTCTTCCAAAGGGTTTATATGGATTATCTTATTTGAACCTTTCAACAACTCTGTGTGGTAGGTGTTATTATTCCCATTCCACATGAAGAAACTGAGGCACAGATGGGCTCACCTGCTCAAGGTCACACAGCTAGGTGGAGCCAGATTTGAACCAAGGCAGTCTGACTTCAGAGTCTGGGCCACTGTCCATTCCTTCGGTGTTTTTGGTTGTGACGGCTGGGAGGAGGCCTGAGCCCACCCATCACGTGCTCACTCCAGTCCTGCACCCACAGAGAAAACTGGAGGAGCTGGCAGCTGAGGTCAAGTGTTTGCCCTCTGCCCGCCCTGCCCTGAGCACCCACCCCTATCTCCAGAGGTAGTGAGAGAGGCCGGAGTCCCTGGGTTTCCATGAGACTGCACTTTGGGGTGGTAAACATTAAACCCATTGGTCTTCCTTGCTTTGAGTGCCCAAAGACTTCTGGAACCCCCTAGGGGGAAGCTGGAAAGGGACTGGACTGTCCTGGAGGTGCGGCCCATAGCTACTCTCACCTTCCAGAAGTGCTTGCTGGGCACTTCGTGAACGAGCAGCCACAGTGCATCTCCCTTCTCCCGGGTGGAGACCCTGCGGCACCATGGTTTGGGGCCTGGGCTTCGAGCCCTGTCCTGGCTGCCTGCTCCTGACTTGGCCTCCAAGCCTCTGTTTCATTATCTGTGGAGTGGGGATCATAATAACCCCCACCCAGAGGAGAAAAGGAGATGATGCTTTCGGAGGACTTAAAAATCAGGACCGGACTGGGAAAGGTGCTTCTGTGTTGAGACCAGCCAGGGGCCCCCAGTAGGTATCCTGCTGACCTCTGAGTTCTGAATTCTTTCAGAGTTTTTGTTTTGTTCTGAAACATGACAAGATAAATACCAAGGTGTTCAGTGGGATATCTCTATGTGATGAGATTTCAGGGTATTTCAAATTAATTTTTCCTTTTACAGTGAAACTTGCTGGCTTGAGCATAGATGATTTATAGATTTTAAAACATTTTGCTTTACACATATAAAATATTTTCATTATTATTTACTTCAAATGCTTTGGCAAGGATAAAGCTTCTAAATGCAAGAGGGTAGGTACTTACTTGCCTAAGTCTTCAAGTCTTCAAGTGGGGAACATTCGTGAGCTGCCTCCCCAGCACCCACTCCCCTCTTCGCCCTTCAGAGCGGACTAGGTGAGCTGGACCCCACCTCGTCTCCATCCAGGAGGTCAACTGGTTTCTGTCAGCCATTGTGGTGACTGGACCAGGGAGCCCCTGAGGGAGGTGTGGCCTGCGACACTCCATTCCAATATTCGTGTTTGTTTGGGGAAGTGGATTTCCACGCCTTTGATGTATTATAGGTGACTTCCATATGTCACCTGGGAACCTCCACCTGGGTGAGTTTGGGGCCAAGAGGGAGGAAGAGGAGCTGAGAGCTGGAAAGAGAGGAACTGTCCTAATTATATCACCGGAGCCATTGGAAGAAGCTTCTCTGAGAGGGTAGACTTTTCATTTCATGGACCATTTAGATTTCCTCTATTTCCAAAAATAGGCTAGTAAATTGGATTTTCTTTTTTCTTTTTTTTTTTTAAGATTTTTATTTATTTATTTTTAGAGAGGGAAGGGAGGGAGATAGAGAGAGAGAAACATCAATGTGCGGTTGCTGGGGGTCATGGCCTGCAAACCAGGCATGTACCCTGGCTGGGAATCGAACCTGCGACACTTTGGTTTGCAGCCCACACTCAATCCACTGAGCTACGCCAGCCAGGGCTGGATTTTCTATTACCTACAAGTTGCAAACTGATAAAGAAACTGAGTCCAGAAGTGGGATGTTGCAAGTAATAGATCCTCCACTGCAGGCGGGGCTACGGAGGAAGGCGGAGCCGGGGTGGACCCCAGCCCCAGGCTGGAAGGTGATGAAGGAGTTGGATCCATACTGTCTGTTGAATCTTGGAATTCAACCCAGGTGCCTGCAAGGCTGCTTTTCAGAAGCCTTGTGGGAAATTTTGGGGATTTTTGAATAGCTGACCACTTTTTAGTCATTTAAATTCCTACAAGGAAGAGATGTGATTCCTCTGAATGGGCCTGCTTGGAAGGAGAGAGGAAACACCAGGGGCTTTGCTAAGAGAGACCCTTTTTACTTGGGCTGCAATCCAAGCTGATGGTGAGTCCAGGGATTGCAGCCCAGAAGCGGAATTCTCTACGCCGAGCTGTACGTGGTGTAAGCAGAGGCCAGGAGGTGGGAGACGTGGCAGGATACAAAACTGAAGATTCCTCAGGTCTCTCCCAATCACCTCCCATTAGGCATTCTTTATCTGACAAGGAGACTCAACTCCTATTCTCATACCTCTGCTAGGATGTAGACAGTGGACAAGAGGCCCATTGCACTATCTCTCCACCCCTGCTGCTGTGGCTTTGACATGCCAAGGTCAAGGCCATCCATTAACCTGAGAGCAGGGGGATGCATTGAGCCCAAGGCCGATTGTCAGGAGATAGGTATCCCTAAGCCTTGTTCTGAGCGCAAAGGTATGGCACAGTCTCCGTGTATTTGACTGGAAGCGAACAGATCAGACAACCCCCAAGCCTTTAAGAATATAGCTAAAGTAATCCCCAATCTGGCCAATATCAGCCCACCATTGTACAAGCCCTTAAAGTATCCTCGGGTCAAAGAATTGGAATCTAACAGGAAGTGGGATGCTAAAGCGGCACAGCCCCCAGGCGGAGCCTCTCCAAGGCCCGTCTCTGACAGGGAGAGGGGCGGACAGGCTGATGCACAGGCAGGACGGAGGAGGAACCTTCAGGAAGACTTAATCAGAGCTGAGGGAAGCCCTGCGTGTGTGTGTGTGTGTGTGTGTGTGGTGGTGGGGATCTTCTCTCTGCTATCTGGGTACAGCTAAGCTCTTTCCCTGCTTACTAGGGACATTTTCTTTCCTGCTTCCGTGCAGACGGACCTGCCCGAATCTGCTCTGGCTGCTGGAATCCAGCCCCCAGTAGCAGGCCTTGACCCTTCCTCTTGGCCAGCAGCCTTCTCTAGGGCTAAGAATGGGAAGCAACATGCTCCCTGCTGGAGCTTGGAGCCTGCTCACAAGTCCCTTTAGAAATAAAGGAGAAAATGGGGACATTGTTCCCTGGACAATGGGGTTTTCTCATATGGCGAGCTCCCCAGGCCTTTGTGCGGAGGGCTTCCTTGAGTGGGAGCTGGGGCTGGAGGATGCCCTCTGGGCCAGGGCCTAGGGTGGCAGCCCGGGGCTGGCTGTGGGGCGGAGCCTGGGGCGAGGGCAGAGCCAGCACAGGAGAGAAGGTGCACTGAGCA